ATATTTGCATGTCATTCATTTGATACTGTGGTTTTTCTGAATTACAGGTATTATGGCCAACAATGAGGAAACATCACATGATGGAAACGAAACAACAAAAGACATTGAAGGCGATATCAAAAGAGGAATAACGATTATGAAAAAAATCATTCGTGCGAGAGATAAGGGTGTTAAGTATGATGTGCATTGGAATGAAAGAGATCAATTAGTTGAGCCTAACGGTGCGATGCTGACAAGTTACATTGGAGCACTTGTACGTTCGCAAGTTCCGATTACTTGCGATAATTGGAGAATTCAGTCGCTACAACCGGCTAAAGACAAAATTTGGAGCGAGATACAGGTATGATACTTGATTATTTTTAATTATGTTGACGGTTACATCTTTAAATTAATTATACTAACATGTTATATGTATGTGTATTTGTTTGTAGAGATCTTTTAACATTGATGATTGCAGAAGAAAATATTGTCTTCAATTGGCCGGTAAACGACTGAGGGGATTCAGAGCGTTTTTAATGAACAAGTTTCTCAAAGATTCTGATGGAAACTTTGTTGACTCGGAGCATCCAAAGAAGTACGCTGATTTGATTTCGGAAGAAGAATGGGAGACATTTGTTGCGAAGCGAAGAACCAATGAATTTTTAGTAAGTACAACTTATCATGAATAATGTATAGTATATATACTTCTTCCACAAGAGTTCTGATATGACTTAAACTTGTTTTTTCAGGTTGTGAGTAGCGTTAATCGGCAACAAACATCAAAACCCGCGTAACCATACAAAAAAGGGCGTTTGGGATATGCACGCTTAGAACAAAAAATAGTAAGTATATATAAATGCTTTAATATGATATAGTTACCAAAATTAGTAAGTATATATAATAGGATATGAATGGTTTATTATCCATCATAATGTACAGATAGAAGAGGAGAAAAGTGATGCGACATCTCTTCCGGACCATGTTGTGTGGAAGGCTGCCCGTGTGGGAAGAGATGGAGTCGTTCAGGAAGAAGTTCAACAAGTGTTTGAACGATGTGTAAGTACAACATTAGTTTTGTCAGTAACTGATCAAAAGTGTATAATATACTTATATATGCTTTTATATATATTTCAGGAGACTCTATCCCAGAGTATAACTCCAGCTGAGGACGAGGATTGCAGGAGCATACTGAGTCGGGTGTTAAATATCCCTAAGTATTCTAGGCGCGTGAGGGGTAAGGGATTTGGCGTCACTCCATCACAGCTGTATAAGAAGCTAAAGAAAAAAAATACTAGCAATAAAGAAGTGATGGATACGTTGGAGGAATTGAAAGCTCATATTCGGGAATTACAGAAGGACAAAGAAAGATACATGTCAGAAAGGCGCGGTCCAGATGGTAAAGATGCTAGTGAAAAAGATAGTATCGGTTGTCCGCAAAAGCTTCTAGAGGTGATTGTATATATTACATTGAAATTAATTTAGCACAATTTTCTTAATTGACACATTAATCGGCATCATTATTTGTTTAGGGCATTTCACCTTGTCAGCTATATTTATCGTCACCGACTTATCGCTTGGTTGGCAAGGGAAAGGTGCATAACAATGTGGGAGAATTACTTCACCATAAACCGCTCCCTCCTGGATTTTTAAAAGTATCGGTTGATATTGCGTTAGAGGGGGTGCGTTGTTGCCTGTACCGGATGAAGTTTCAAACGCAACAGTGATGGTAGACGCAATAGGAGCGTATGTTGCATGGCCTACAAATCTCATTCACATAGATGATGAGGTATGTTGAACACCATTATGAACCTAGCTTGTAATATTCAAATGTTTTACGACCCATAGATGAAAGTTATTCTTACATTTACATTTTCTTATTTACATGATGATCTTAGACTCCTACAAAATCCAAAGCAAAAGATGATAGAATTATTGTGCGGGATACCGATTCAGCTGCACCAAAGAAACAGGTACTAATACAGTTACATGGTTATCTTATTATAAATTAATTACTGAACTTATATATGACTTTTAGGTTCATGATCAGCAGTCGCAACAAGTCAGCAAGGGTAAGATGCCTGAAACTTCCAAGGTGCCCAACAAAAAAAAGACCGAGTCAAAAAAAGCATTTGTTCCTCGATTTAGGATGTGCCTTGAAACATATTTAGGAACAACAGATGTGACTGAGGGTGGCATCCGTCAAATACCTATGGAGGAAGGTATTTTCGGTTTTGAATATCCCGAAACACTTGCTAAGGAGGATTTTGACCAGGTTTTCCAACATTCTGAATTGGGCGTCGGTGTTATGCATTCCTACATCAGGTACTCCGATCCATTTTAATTAAATAATTGAACATTTTAAAATTTGCTCATTTAACTGAATATTCTAATGTTGATTATGTTTTTCGTTTAGGCTCCTGTATGACAAGTTGTTGGTCCCGCATGATTTGACTTCCATATTCACATTCTTATCTGCTAGCTGTATCAACGCACGGGCAATAGAGCACACACCAGATGCAGTCAAAGATTACATAGTCCAAAGATTTATGGCCGCGACTACAGAGAAGTTGTTCTTGTTTCCATATAATACTAGCCATGAGTTAGATTTTATTCTAAATTCATTTATTATAATTATTCGATTTTTGTCATTAATCTATATAACATTTATGTCTAAACTGTTGTCTTATTTTATAGTGGACAATGGTTGTTGGTCGCGATTAATCTGATGAAAGAAATAGTATGAGATATACTGTTCTGCATATATATATATATATATATATATATATATATATATATATATATATATATATATATATATATATATATATATATATATATATATATATATATATATATATATATATATATATATATATATATATATATATATATATATATATATATATATATATATATATATATATATTTATTATGTGACATTGTTCTAAATATACGTTTATATTATGTTAGAGTTATACAAATATTCAGAGCATAAAGAGATGCAACAATGCCAAAAAGTAAGGCTAACAACATCAGCTGGATCAGAGTGGAGGTATATTTTCCCATGTTTGACTGTTATAGTGGTTCTACTTGATAAAACTATTTAAACTATATATCCTGATAAATGTTCGCTTGTTTTTTTCCATTTACAGTGTCCTCATCAACGCAATGGGATTGACTGCGGATATTTTGTATTGCGCTTTATGAAGGAAATTATTCTTTCAGGTCAAATAGAGATTCCAATCATGGTATGGATCAATTCATAAGTTATATGATTCATTTTGATAATTAATCGATATTTCATCTGAGTAATTAGTTTTAAAATTAAATCGTGCATGTTCTGTTATATTATGTAGTACTTTGATGAATACAAGTGCGGTACTTACTCGAAAATAAGATTGGAAGAAATTAAGGAGGACTGGTATCAATTTATTCTTGAGTTGAGAATTGTATAACGTATCTATTTGTAAAGTTATCGGATTTGTAATTATATGTAAATTGAATGTATTTGTGATGTTGTAAATTGAATGTATTTGTGACATTGTAATATATTTAAGCAGGTTTATGTGTATTCAAATGGTTATGGACAAAGTGATGAATACACATAAATAAGACCAAAGTAATTGTTATATATAAGGTCAAACTGTTGAATTAAAGACCTGAATTATAAGCAGGGAATGTAATAATTAACATTAACTAACTGTATATAATTTTAATGCAAATAATAGAACAAAAGAGATGTATAGTCTAGTGGTAAGATGTGGTTGCTGGATGCAAAATATCACTGGTTCAACATGTCTATGGAGAGTTTATATATGATCTCATAACGGGTCGAAATTTTTGGTTTGGTTCCCTAACTTTATGTGGTTGTTTTGGATGGATCGTTAGTCTGAAATCAAGCATGGTGTTGTTGGGATGGTTTCTCTTATGTTTTTTTTTCTAATTGGTTATGATTTTGTGTGTGTTGTGATTTGCTTTGTTTTGATGTTGTTTTGGGTAGTTGTTGTTTTAACAACTGTTTTCTTGTGTGGACTTCTTGTTTTTTATTTCTTTCATTGTACTTTTTTTGTAGGCTTCAATTTTTTGTAATATATTAGTTTTCAATTAAAAAGAATATTAGAAAAATATGATGCACTTGTCTTACTTAATTAGAACATCACACGCAAAACAAACCTTAGGTATTGCTATTATACAAATCAGAAATGTTATTCTTACACCATTTCCTACACCCTACACCCAATTTACTGTTCACAAATACGTGAACAAATTTCTCAGAACATGGTTAATAGTATGTATTTTATTGGTTAATGAAGTAGTGAAAGTGGTTAATAAATTATAGGTAAAATAATTGGCTAATGATGTAGATTTTTGTGGTTAATGTAACTGTGAAGTTGGTTAATACGCAATCTTATATTTGTGTTATAAAATAAATTTTAAAAATAAATATTTTTTTTAAAAAAAAATTAATATTTTAAAAATATATATTATTTTAATAAAAAAACACTGTTCACCGTATAAATACGGTGAACAGTGCATACGGTGTAGGATGTGGGTGTAGGAAATGGTGTACACATAGCAAAGCTGTATACAAATTTGCCCCATAAAAGTAAATAGTGATAACTAGCTAGGTAGGTATTTGGTAACTTGATTTTTTACAAAGGTATTAATAACTATAGTTTTAATTTTTTTTTTTAAATTAACGATAAAATAATATATTAAAAAAAGAGTAAAAGAACTCAAAGTACAAAAAGAGCAGCAAAATAAGGAGTGTTTAAAACAACATTCAACAGGAGAACAACAAAAGTAAAAATATAGCAAAGAGAATGAACGAAAACATACAAGCATCAAATACACACAATAATATGAAAATGAAGGAAACGAAAACATACAAGCATCAAATACACACATGCAATAATATCAAAATGAAGCACACAACGAATCACCATCCAACAGAGACCGAGCTAGAACTCAGACATCAAACCCATCAACAACAGACCAAAACCTCAAGAAAACGTCAAAGATTAGGATTTTTGATCTGCTAGGAGCATCTTCTCTAGAAAGAAAGAGTTGGAGGCAGTGGTAGAGTGTTTAGGATTCCAATAAAAAACTCCAGGGATTAATTTGTTTTTAATGAGATAGTTGATGGCCCCCATAACTAGAGGGTCAGGAGGATTCTTGTATCCTGCTAGGACTTTAGAAGGAGTGTAGGTAACTACTAGTTTCTTATAGAGTTCAACAACTTCATCCTCTGACGAGAATTCTTGATTGTAGAATTGATAATCAACTAAGTCAATGATCTCTTTGTTTTCCGAATACAATTTTTCATAGTAAGATTCAACTAGTTTTGTTGGAGCAATTGATACCACTTTGATGGCCAAAGGTGCGTCATTCTTTAGTTGCTTTATAACTTCACCAACAAAGTTGGTAAAATCATTCTCCTCTGTTTTGATTACATCATAGTGTATATCAATACCATCAATCAGGTTTTGAGATTTATGGATTTGGTTGTAACGAACAATGATCTGTTTGATCGAGTTGACAGCGTAGACAACCCATGTATCTTTATGGAATGGATTGAATGGAAATTCATGCCCAACGCCTCCGATGCTTATCATCACCCTCACTTGTGGATTGTTATCCTTGAATGTTTTTAGATTTTCAAGACTGAGATCATTACCGTTCCAAGTGGGTTTGAAATTCCCTGTGCCTTTTCCTTCTATGTAGTCTTCACTGGCAAACCCTAAAATGAAGTCGTTTTTTTGGATATCGGTGTTGAAATTGAGCTTATTTGGTGTATCAAATATGTATTGACGAAAAATGGTTAGATCAATGTTTCCATTGGTATCAGCTGAAGTCATTTTGAATTTGTGAGTTTGATTTGAATGTGTTTGGAATGACAGTTTCTTAATGCCATTTTATAAGTGTGTTTTCATGTGCATTCAGATTAAATAATTGCTTAGTTCAGATAATGCATAACATATTTCGTAGCAAATTACTTCATTTGCTTACGTCGACAAATTTTCATCATCATCATCATCTTGCATTACGGCAACTATTAATAACGAAGGAGGAAAGTTTCACTTGTCTCCATGTTTGCTTTGTGTTCACACTAGAGTTGTTAGGAGAATTAAAAATTTGAATTATTCGAATCTTTTTCTACTTATACTTCTCATTGTCTTTTTTATATATTATCGTATTTCTACTTCTTAATAATGAATTTAATATGACTCTTTAAAAAATTGTGCTAACATAGATTCACACCATAGTTGTTAGAAGAATTAAAAATTGGAGTTATTTGAGACATTTTCTTCTTATACTTCTCATTTTTTAAGCTACCGTATTTCTACATTTTAAACAATGAATTTAACATGACTCTTTATAAAACCAATACTTTTATCAAATAATTCACATTTTTAATTTTATTCTCGATTTCAAAAAATTTCTCAATCTACTTGACTTTTAAACAAAAAAATATTGGAGCGCATTTGTGGCTCCATACAAATTGACAACTACACCTATTTTTTTTAATGGTGGCGCCAATTGAATTGACGCCTGTGTATAGTTTTGTCAGCCTAATTGAGCCTAATTGACGTCAGTTTATATATTTTTAATAGTGGCGTCAATTCATATAATGCAAGTGTGTATTATATTTATTTAGTATAAATAGATGTGCCTTCTATCATTTACTTCACACTTAATCTCATATATATATATATATATATATATATATATATATATATATATATATATATATATATATATATATATATATATATATATATATATATATATATATATATATATATATATATATATATATATATATGTATATATATGTATATATATATATATATATATATATATATATATATATATATATATATATATATATATATATATATATATATATATATATATATATATATATATATATATATATATATATATATATATATGTATATATATATATATATATATATATATATATATATATATATATATATATATATATATATATATATATATATATTTATTTTCTTCACTAGCTCTATCATAATTGAGAAAAGATATGGGCATGTATGTTATTCGGCAACGAAATCTTTAATGAAAATGCAATTATCGAACATCCAAAATTCTAAGCATCATGAAAGGAGTTTGAAAAGTTGGTTAGACGAATAGATTCATGGTGGAGAAAGAATTAGAATTACCGAGAGGCTTGTTGCGTACATCTCAATTTCAGATGATAATAATAATATACACTGTATGTGGGTGCGAGTTAAAGATGATTATAATGTTAGGGATATGATATCTGTTGTAAATGACATTGTTTTGATTGTTGTAATCTCTTAGACATATTGTGGTGTTAATTCTTTTTAATTTGTTGTTTGTGTTGTTGTCTTATGCGTATTTATGTTGGTATGCTATGTTGTGTCTTATTCGTGTGCGGAAACTGTTTGTTTTATGGGTGCTTAGGGGTGTTTATCTTATTTTTGTTATACCCAAAAGATGAATACACACACACCCCCCATGGTTAAAAAGTTTTAAATAAAAAAAATAAATGATCATGTAGAACTTGCTCTAACATTGGGATGATTTTCCCGATTGTGTTCGGACTCACGACATATACCATATAATCTTACCATTTTATTAGTCGTATCAAATTTTTGTTCTAATACTCCTATAGATGTGAACAACAATTCCAACCTAAAATAGGTTGCTCTCACCAACACGATTATTGGAGGATTTTTAATGCCTTTGAAGCAGTTGTTCATGAATTCACAAGGTTTGTTGTTATGTGGCCCCATCGGCGTCCTTCGTCAAATGCCACTGTCCATTTCTTCATTGGAATATTATCCACTCACCTTAATACATCCAAATTTGACAATTAATTTTCCCGCGGTAGCGCCTAAAAGATGGTTGAGTTAACGCATTCGCTGCATTCACAAATCTTTTTCGAAGGTTCTTCTATTTGATTTCTTGCATGAAATTTTGTGCAATATTTCTAATGCAGTAGACATGGCTAGAGGGAGCATTTTGCCATATGTTCTTATGATTATTATACACACTCTCAATAGATGCATATTTGTATGAAATCAAACTGAGGCTAGGCTATAGACCAACTGTGTTCTGAGATTCTTGAGAAAGAAACTTTAACCACCAAGAGTCTCACCTTGAACCAAAGCGAAGGTAATGGAAAAAAATATTACTATTGTCGCCTTGTGCCACTACCACAAGTAATGTGCCTTTGTATTTCCCGTAAAGCCATATTCCACCAATTTTAAGAATAGCTTTGTAGAACACAAAACGTTTGATGCATGGTTGAAACGCCCAAAAGAGTCGATATGATATTCTATATTTATTTACACCCAAGTTTTGTTCGACGTATAAGTCAGTAGTGTCCCCAAAATTGTAATAGTTTCCGTAACATAAGTCTTGAGTACCATTAAATATTGTGCAAGTTCTTTGCACGAATCCTCCCAATTTCCGTATACTCATTCAAAAGACTTTGTTCTTGCAATCCACACTTTCTTGTATGAGGGAGTATGATTATATCATGTAACGACATGAGAGATTATTATAATCAGCTTACCTAACGAGTCCTTGCTAACAAGAGGCAAAATGGCTTGGCATATCAGTTCAGAGTTTAATTTATGGTGATCCTGCGAAAGATTAGTGGTGGTGCAAGTGTTAGGTGGATGTATAGAACTTATCTCCCATGAATGAATCCTCTTCCTGTAAGCCGCTTCCACATGAATCATGAAAAGCAGAATACGATAAAGAATGACATATCTTCTCGCATCAATGCAATCTACGGTATAATCAACAGAATTTTTAATGTAAAATTTTTAGATAGCTCGCACATAGTCTTCTTTACGCGGAAACAGTTTTCCACTTTTAAGTCACCCTCTGGACACATATACAGGTTGTAAAAAATATTAGAGGATGACTCATCTTCATGTAAGTTCAAGTTTTTTCATATGTTGAGGCATACAATATACATGACTTGGAGACTACGATGCTTGATGATGATGATGATCATCAGTGTTGGTGTTCAACAAATAACCCACCTGTATCTCAATTAATTTTTCTTCATCATCATCGACGTCAACTTTTGCTTCAGCTTCACGTGAATCTACATCTTCAACTTCATCTGAATCTACATCCCCAACTTCATCTAAATATACAGATGCAATTTCATAATGATCAATTATCTGAGATTGTTGATATGGAAGAGTTTGTTGGAGTAAAGTATACAACTTAATATAGTTGAAACCATATTGTTTGTGAATAACAAACATATTTTCAATATATTCATTGTCTCAAACCTTAAGAGGATAAAATATAACTTGGTTGTTTAAAAAAATAGTATTTTGATATATATTTTGTAATACAGAACCAGACCCTTGTTTTAATTCTATTCTATTTTTCGATTTCAGCGTTTAAATTGAGTTTAGTTGGTATATGAAGTAAGTATATTGACGATAAATGGTTAGATCAATGTTTCCATTGGTATCATCTGAAGATATTTTGTGACAATAAAGTTTTAATTTGTGGGTTTGTTTTGAATGTGTTTCAAATGAGAGTTTCTTAATGCCATTTTATAAGTGTGCTTTCATTTGCATTCAGATTAATTATTTGATCAGTTCACAGGGATGACACTTAGGCTCATATCTACTAAGTACCCGTACAAAATACCCATAACAGATAGGATAAAAATTCATAAAATGGACTCGGGCACGTGCGCAGATAAATATCGACTAAAATAAGTGGGTATGAGTGTGGTTACGAGTACCTTATTATCCAACCCGCCTCATACTTGCACAATATATATTTATATATTATCATATACATTATTATATAAAAATGCATGTTTATCGATTTTTTTTTTAAAGAAAGATACCATTATAAAGTACCACCCATTTAAATATAAATATTTGTTTATTTTATAATTCAACAATAAAATTTTTGAGTTGTTTTTAAACGTTTTTAAATGGTTTTAAAAAACTTTAGAATATTTGATATTTCATAATTGATCGAACTATTTTAACTATGAATGCGGGTAATGGGTATCAATACTGACATTGACGTCCACAGAGATATGGTCTCGTCGTGTAAGGAAATTTTTTTAAACTCAAATATAAGAACGAATAGTATAATACCCTCCCTAAACCCTAACTATTGTTATTTATTAGAGTTTGACCTAACACAACCCTACAAAACCGGTTGGTAAGGTGAGCGAATCTTCCTAATACACCCCCTCACGAGGGATGCTGCTCTATATAAACTATTTCAATGCTCTATCTCCAACCAATGTGGGACTTTAGGATCTTCCTAATACACCCCCTCACGCCCAACACTCTTTTTGGACTTGGTGCATGGATTTAAACGGCGGGCTGCTCAAGGTCCGATCGATAGGCTCTGATACCATATTAGAGTTTGGCCTAACACAACCCTAGAAAACCGGTTGGTAAGGTGAGGGGTGCCCCTCTATATAAACTATTTCAATATTCTATCTCCAACCAATGTGAGACTTTAGGATCTTTCTAATATTATTTCTATTAATTCAAATAAAGCATAACATATCTTATAGCAACATGCATCATCCTGATTAAGAAAACTATTAATAAAATTGAAAATAGCTAACGGATGAGGAAGGTTTCTAACTATATTCCTATTGATAGATGAAATTTGAAGACTTTATTGTTCAAAAAACATTATTATATTTGTGTTGTATTCACATTATAGTTGTTAAGAGAATTAAAAATTGGAATTATCTAAGATATCCTATTCATGATACTTCTCCTTATTTTTTAATTTTAATATTATCATATATCTACATTTTAAATACTGGATTTAA